GCTTAAATTAATTTTTTAAGAAAGTTACCATTAATAACAATCATAGGTATAATCATTTCATTGTATAATTTTTGGTAATTTTTGATAATCGCTTTTTATAATGGAAGGAAATGAGAACAAATAGTTTATGCAGAACTTATGTAACATTTTTTATGCTCTTTTATAGTAAAAATTATATTTAGATTAATACATTCAATCACATCATATTGTTTAATAAATTGCCATATAAATCTATAATATAAGAAATTAACCATGATTGAGGTTTAAAGATTGCAAAATTTAATTCTGATAGAAACTAAATCGATAGAATTTAAATCGCGAGCAATTTTAGCGTTATTCTTGTTGTTTGCACAACAATACGCTTAATTAGCATATTTCTTAAAGAAACAAATAAATAAGGATGTAACGAATTATCTTTATATGCGCTGTGTCGTTAAGTGATGATAATGTACAAATATTTATACTTATAACGGCATAACACGTTGTATATTTTTCTGTATATATCAGTATATGTGTAACATGTATAACTTATATATTTATCCAAAGAATTGAATTATAAACGATGTATAAAAAAATCGTATTGATAGATCAATGCGAATGCGAAGATTGGTGAAGGCAGATGTTATGCATTTACGCTTTACTAACTTACATTTACTTAAAATCTGTGAAACATCGATTGTGTGCCTGATATATTTCGCTCATTCCTGATTGAAAGCATTTTTGTATGGAGCCATATGAACTTTCTGATAAAAAGAAAATTACTAATATATGAATAAAGTTATTTTTCTATTTTACGGTGATTGTTCTTTATACCACTGTAGAGAGCTAAAAAGTCTGAGATTTAAGTAAATCTGATATCGTAATATTCTTTATTATTTATTTCGCTGTTATAAGTCACTTGATTTTTTTAAGCAGGGTGATTTGGAATAATCATTAAAATATTTATTTTAGTGTTTTATTGACCACACAGCCTTAAAATCTCAGTTGAGAAGTGGAATGATTACGTAAGTAAAATCTAATTTGAGATACAAAATAATAATTAAAGTAATTATGATCAGAGTAGTTATGTGCTTCAAAAATTATTTGAAAATAATCTTTTTATAATAAACTTTTAAAAAAAAAGTTAAATATCCATGAAATATATCAATCATAAATATCGCCAGAAATAAATCGAGCTAATATATTAACACAGAAAAAAAAGTTTATATTTACTAAAAATTTGAAAAATTCGATTGTTTTCTTTTCAAAAAAAGACATTTTGTATCTCAAGTTAAATTTTAAAATGAGTAATCGTTTTACTTCTCAGCTAAATACAGTTTCAATCGATCTCAGTCAAAGTATTGATTAGAGATGAATT